TATGAACAGGTAGAATGTCTAGCCATACTGAAACATGCCATACCGATCTCTGGAACAGTTTGTCGCATGCAGACTTGGGCAGCCACAACTTTTCAATCAGTGAAGCAACTGCAGCTCTGAGACATGGTTGCACAGGTGGAAGAGCGATGAGCGGCCTTCCACATTCAGACGACAGTAGGCCATAAAAGCAAATTTCTGCAGTCACATCAGCGGGAAGAGATGCTTTCTGCTGTTAGTCCACTCGCTTGCAGCATTGCTAACACTGATGTGGTGCTCCCAGGCATCATGGTCACTCATTTATGAGAAGACAATGGGTACCGACCTGTAATGCTCAATAGACATTTAACAGGAAGTCGCCCAAGCCCTAAAGTGCCCTTTTACGACACCAAATACATGCAGCTGCATTCAACAGCTTGAGCGCTTTACTCGTGTCCTCGTTACTTCGTCTTCCTCCTGCTCAACAGAGGGTTCCCCTTCCTACCAGTGCACCGTTGGCTGCAGCAGCACACTTACTCACTGTAGACGGGGGGCACATCACTGTGGACAGGGGGCACAACATGACAATGCTCGTTTACTTGCCTGGAAATTATGTCCAGCCCAGACCGCAATCACTGGCTGAAAAAGCAGTCCCCTTCCTAAAAAAAAGAAAAGTTTATGTAAGGCACTTATATGAAATATACAAGATGTAACCACAAAGCTAATATTTCCTAAGGTGCTACTCCTGCTCCTGGACATTATCTTTAGGAAGGAGACTTCTGAAAATCATATAAAATGGTTTGACTTCAATCCATGACTGTCACAAATGAGAGAGTGGCAGCGTCGGGACTGTTTACAGCCGAAACGATCAAAAAGAAATTAGAAAAATTAGTTTCAAAGAGAGCTTTCTTGATTACAAAAGGTGAACAACCCTGCCTCTGCGCACCAAACATCAGTGACAGTTCCACCGCCTCATGAACAACATGTTCCGGGCCCGAGTTTTTGCCCGCGAAAGCCCGACGAGGTAAACATAGCTGCGAAAACTATGATGCCCGGTAGCTACTTACTGGTTTCGATCACCGAAAGCACAGGCACCGCGCCCAACGCTTTATGTAGTGGCGCCCATTAAAACAATCCTTTGTAGAAACATGTAAGCAACACAAAATAACGTTTAAAACAGCCGAAAGAGCGCTTAGGCCAGGCCGCATAGTTTCCAGTTTACATATCCGAGTACTACGCCGCATAGTTTGCATTAAGGAAATGTTGTAAAAACACTTACCTGCTTTGAGCACCGCTTCAATTCGTAGTCATTTTCCTTCCGCATCGGGAGTTACAAGCGCTTTTTCGTTATTAGAGTCCCGTAGGAAGATCCTATGAAAACTTTCTCGTTGAGGCGTGTGGACACGGCACCGGAGTCGGCCACTCACTCGAATACCTTTTCATTCTTGTTGAACCCAGATAAGCATTCGTTTCTTGTCTTCAGTGAATCCTAGTTCAAGCTTCTCCCGAGTTTTCATAATGAAGGAGACGTCGAAACTCACATGACGCCAAATATGTCCACAAGCGAGGGACGCCAACGAGCGAAACGAAAAGAAACAGGCCAGGAGCCATCGCTCAAATTGAGCTAACGTTGCTAGACGGAAAAGCGCATTTGTCTAGAAAACCCGTACAACGTTAGTTTCGAAACCTGCGAAACAGCATCTTTCACGATTTGCGTTTCGTAAAGACATGCCATAAAGAAAATTTTAAGAAGCAACTTTTTTTTGACGTGTGAAACTCTTTTTAAAAGAAAAATTGCAACCTAATCTCGCTCCCAGGCGGGAAGCAGCGCGAGCGCTCGCGACTTGAACGGGACTTCACGAAGGAAGTTCGCGGGAGCGTCTATGAAACGTAAAAGCCAGCTTGGGCGTTTTCAAGTCGAACTTGGTGTTGAGGCGGACTTGAGCAAGTCGAAGTTCGGCTTCAGTTGAAGTCACATCTATGAATTCGGGGGTCAGTGACGATTATGGTAGATATAAACTAACGTTAAAAATTAATTTATTTCTTTTTTGTGTAAACGCGCTCCGACTGTATTTAAATATATTTATTGACTGTACGTGTCGAGCAAGTCATCAATTATAAATACCTCGATGTTCTCCTAATCAAAATTGGTTCTTGAGTATTTCACACGAATCACTTATACACCAATTCGTTTTTCTCGCTAAATTTGATGGGTAAATTGATGTCATGTGACCTATGCACCAATTCAGTATACCCACTAGATTTGGCAAAAAAATTAACGTCACGTGAGCCGACGTTCGTGATATGTAGACCAATTAAATTTCTCCGCTTATAATGGCGAGGAAATCGATGTCACGTGACCTGACGTCACGTGAACTATGCATAATTTAGTTTCCCCCGCCAAATTTAGCGTTACAATTGACGTCATGAGACCCGACATCACCTGACGTCATTTCCATGATTAATTTTTCGATTAAATCAACTTTCAATTTTAAACCTCCTTCAAAGCGCCGAGAAAGACGCAGTTCTACGCCAAAATAAGAAGTAATTTATTCTTTAAAAAGCGTATTTAGAATATTAAATGTATCTATGTAGTAGTAACCATCAGAATAATTACAATAAAAATACCCTACCATGCGTGATTGCAAGGTTTCTTGTGGTTATAGTCATTCGAAACACCAAAATGATTGTAAAGCGCTCTACAAGAGAATGCGAAAAGTGGGGGTAACTTTGACTCAAAATAACTAAAAGTGCGTCAGTCCCAAGCAGTAGTGCGTTGCTAATAAAACCGCTGGAGGTACAATTATATTATATGAAATCTAGGTCAATCTTAACTTCACAGACACAGCTGACTTCGTAGAGCGGATATGGAGTGTATTTTAATAAGAAGACGTTTCAGTTGATCTGCAGTTCGAGCAACCGTCAGACGTATTTTCGGTAGTATTCTACAAATACTCCCCAAAAGAGCTTACAGTTTGTCTATCATTTGAGGTTTTCTTTCTATGCGCATTTGTTTCATATTTAAATAAAATAATCATCAAGCACGAAATAATTAGGGTCGGCTGAAAATGGCTAACTATCAATGCCCATCAGGGCGAATTGGACTGTCAACCGACTTTGTTGCCTTCCAATTCGTTCGTCAATCACGTAATGTCCTATTGCAAAAAAAAAAATCAAAAATCGAAAGGAAGAAACAAGTACAAGGGAAATAATGACATATTGGAAGGAAATTAAAGCGCAAGAAAGGAAGCTAATCAATATTTCTCACAAACAAAACTAAAATCAAGCTGCGTCTTTTGTAAAATGGCGGGATTTAAATCAATAAAGAAATGTTAATAAGACTTATGTTAATTAATCCGTCATCAAACGGATTAATCACCAATCTCCCATATCTCAAAGTACATCTTGTGATATAGAATCACTTTTGTTTTACCTAGAATTATTTAAATTAAACTAATCTCATGTAAGTCAAATAAACCTTATATAAATTAAATAGCTTTAATTTTTTTAAGAAAATCCGATTAAAATCAAATAAATATAAACTTTTCTAACTAAAAAAAAACATGATTTTTTCTTTTTTTACTTTGGCTTTACGTAGAAGCGGATGTTGGTCCTTTGGGGTGTTTCAAAATAAAGTTAATTTTATTACGGGCTTCTGACCGCTGCCATTTGAAGCGTTCGTGCATATGCATGCTCTGCTCACTTCCCAAAGCGACAAACGTTCATGTGCTGGGCTGTGAACGGTATATACATCATTCCAATGTGGTTTGCCTAATTAAACGGGCATTTAAAACTTTCCTACAATATTTTTCGCCAACCGATCCTATAGTGAATCGCCAAAGCATGGCTGATCAAATATCTAATGGCAATTGCAAGGATTGAGGTTATGAATGGGATTGTTTGTTCTCTCATTTGGCCAGAAGTCCGCGGGGACGCGAACTGCCACAGCATGTCTTTAGACCCTTTAACGGGAAGGTTTTTTTTTGGTTGTTTTTGTAAGATACGGTTGAAAAGCGTGGATTTTGTCAACATGCTTAGCCTTCGCAAGGTGAACTCTCTCCCCGCCTTTATTTTCTAGTTAAGTAGTTGAATCAGCAATTATCCAGGAACACCAGTGCTGTATGTAAATCAACAAACTGTCTGTCTTTGATTTGTAACGCCGACGTGGTTCGGATTACCATGCTGGTGGTCTACCTACCACAACCGTTCCCGATATTATTGTAATATCGCACCATCGCGTTGATCCTTTCAAGAAAGCAATACACAGCTCGCACATGACGTCACGGTAAAATTCTGATGGGGATTCCTACTTGTTCTTGCAAATGTGAGGTGTATGCAGCACAACGTTCGCACTCAACTGGAAGGCCACCACAATGGCTGCCACCGCAGAACCACGCCGCCTGCAAGCCATGTCAACCACAGCCTACCGGTACGACACCAAACAAACACCGTCTTTCCGCTGATGACCCCAATCTCACAAAGGCCCCGACAGCGAAATCCGTCAACCCAGAGCACGCACCTAAACGTACTGAATACCGCAAACTCCACACCACCATACAGCCTCCAACCTCCCCCGTCTACCGCCGGCGCATCCCCGCTCCCAGCCACCTCCATCTAACGGAACCTTGACGTCAAGGTCCTCCTCAGACGGACCTCATCCCGACCAGGACGCCCTGTGGGAGACCGGCCCATCCCAGAGCGCGAGACGGAGCAGCGGCGGAAAAAAGCCGTTAGCCGTCCAGCTGCGCAAGAAGGAAGGCCACACCGCGGGTAGCGGCGAGCGGACCGGCCAAGGGGTCGAGTGAAAGGGAAGACGCCGGCTGGCCGCAGTAGGGCCGCATTGTCCGAGGGGCCTCCGCCTTCTCCCTGAACCAGATCCGCCAGCCCATTCCACATACGCCCAGGCATCCGATAGCGACCGATAACCGAAAACGTGTTGCCTCCCCTCCTTGCTGAGCGACGGAGAAAGGAGGTATAAAAGCGCGCCGCGGACCCACGTCAAGTCAGTTCGGACAACAGCTCCAACGAGACAACCACCATGAACGCTGTGAGTATCGCGGCAGCGGCGTTTGGTTCCTCCTCACCGCAGGTGGTTACGACGAACGGCACGGGAGCAAGCGGCTATGGCCACGGAGGCTACGGGTGTATGGTTCTGAGCAGCCACCCCGGTGCTAAAGACCTGCCGAATTGCACCACCCGCCCCTTGTGTAACCGCCGCTGCACATGACCCCCTTTTGCGGGGGGTAACCGCATTAGGGTAGCGGCCCCAGAATGTGACTTCATCCTGGGCGACCCCACCCGTGAATGACCGCCTCACTTCATCGTGATGCTCGTAAGGGGTAATTGATCACAAAGTGATTAGTAGCCAACAATTAATTAGTTAATCCAGTTTTCTAACTTTGTCTCTGCCAAGATCCCGGATTAGAGGCGACTGAACCAAGCAACAGTACCGCAAACATCTGTCAATGGTAATCTAGAAACTCAGCACCACCGCAAGCAACATTTCCTGCTAGAAAGGGGGACAGGGCACATTTGAGATACCATGCAGCGCAGCCTGTGGAAGGCCAGGGATTCGTGCAGCTTGGACCGAAGTGATGCTAGTCAAGCAATTCCGTAGAGTTAGCTAAGAATCGTTCAGAAACGTATCTAAGATTTCTCATTGCCTACATGTGACAACGGGGACAGTGTTAACCACGACGTCTATTCTTCTTGCAGCTTGCCGCCCTCGTTCTTCTTGCCGTCGCCTACGGCGCCCACGCCGGAGTGGCCCTCGGCGGCTATGGCTTCGGCCTCGGCCACGGCTATGGTGGCTTCGGCTACGGAGGCTTCGGCCACGGAGGCTACGGAGGCCACGGAGGCTACGCCGTTGCTGCCCCAGTCGCCGTCGCTGCCCCAGTCGCCAAGGTTGCCGTCCACGCCCCAGCCCGCTCCTACACCTACCGTAGCGACCACTTCGGCCCTGCCGTCGCTGTCACCAGGCCAGTTGCTTACGGACACGGCTACGGCGGATACGGAGGCGGATACGGTCTTGGCTTCGGAGGCTTCGGTCACGGAGGTTTCGGAGGCTACGGACACGGCGCTGTTGTCGCTGCTCCAGTCGCCAAGGTCGCTGTCGCTGCCGCCCCAGTCGTTGCTGTCGGCCACGGAGGCTATGGTGGCTTCGGATACGGTGGATTCGGCCACGGTGGATTCGGCCATGGCCACGGATACGGAAAGTAATAAGCTTAAACACAACAACGTGCAAGGTGAGCACCCTGGAACTCATGGGCAAGCATTACGGAAGAAAATTACTCGCGCGGGTACCGTTCACTTTTAATCAAGTATGAGCTCATTCGGTACTTTTGGTCGCCTCAGTAGTGAAACACATATACACTAATCCGCGCAGCTTAGAAACTTGCTGATCAAATTCAAATTTTAAGATGACGATGGAATATTTCGGTGATCTGGACAGCCAAACAACCCGCACGATTTCTAAAAATCAGGGAACACTGAGGTTATTTCGTACGCCAAAAGGCTCTAAGTGTGTATGGTTACTGCATTCATTCTCTTCGCACCACAAAAAAAAAAAAAAATTTGTTTCGGCTAGGCACACGCACATCTTCTCAATGAATGTCTTTATCTTCAATAAGTAAAACATTATCTTACTGTCTTAACCTGCGGCAAAAACTAGTACTCAAAGATCATCTTTGACAGCCACTAACAGATTAATAAAGACGATAATACTGTTCTCGGAAACCACTTGGACACCCAGAATGCTGCCTTACGGGGCGATCCCGCGGCTCGTACGCTCCGAGCCCCAGCAGGGAGCTAACGATCACCAATCACTATCATGGGAAGCTCGTTCGCATCCTATGCGTTCATATACGTACCCTCAAGCCCTCCATAGAATCCCTTTCTTAAGCCGTTAGAGCTGGGAAATGTTTAGAATGAGCCCCCAAGACGCCCCAATTAAACTGCCACAAGGTTCTCGAGCTTTCTTTTGGGTTGCTTTCAAGTTCTTCGTACTACCTTTGACTAGCTTCGTGTTTTAAGGATAGGGGGAAGTAGATCAAGGGTAACTCAAACAGTGTCATTGTAGACTAGATCGCAATGCAATGGGAACAAGTGTTTACATTCATTCTCGTTCTGTTCTTCTTTTGTTACTTCTGCAGCGACATCAAGCTCTCGGACCCGGGTCACGGACCTCGGAGGATGATCACACCCAAGGATGCCGTTGTCCCGGCGCTCCATCGCTTTCCCCTCCCCCAAATAGGACAATAAATTATTTCCTTCTTCACGCCCACAAACACCTTGTTGCATGTCTTTCTCTCCCGAAAATCGATGAACTGTTGCAGGACGAAGCAAGAGTTCCCGACTTCAAAACTGAAACCCCTTGTCAAAAGTATTTTTTTCTCGGGTTTCGATGAGCTGTCGGAGGACGAAGTGACACTCCCAGGCTTTAACGCTGCAACTTGTTGAAACTGTCTTCCTTAATGTGGAAGGAACTGTCGCAGGACACAGAAAAAGTTCCCATCCTGAACACTCAAACCTTTCGTCACAAGTGTCTCACTCAAGACCCAATGAATATTCGCAAGATGTAGTAAAAAAAAAAAAAATCTTGCCTTGAACATTGAAATTTCTCGTTACAAGTGTTTGTCTCAGGACTCAGTTGAGCACCGCAGGATCTAGTAAGACAAAAAATGAGCCACCAACCTAGAATTGTAATTGACCTTTTCAAGCAGACTCCGGTCAATGAGAACGTGGAAAGCTGAAACCCGGGATCCGTGAATCCAGAAATCCTAGGTTAAATTATCACCCCTGCCCGTTTCGATCTGAATGAGGATCGTACCGGCGTGCGGTTGCGTGTCACTACTGCGTGGTGCACGTTAAAGACCCGAGGCTAGCACTTGTACTCCACTGGTTAGATTGCTCATCTACATCTGAGCGACAAGTCGCCCGTTGAAGCAGACTAACTTCAAGCTGTATAAACACATATACATCACACTTTCTTTTTTAAGCTTGGCTGTGATTTTGCCCTAGCCATCAAATTAATTTTCAATCGGTTTTTGCTTTTCCTGTTTTGGAGGCCACTCGACCAAGTACCGGATAGTTTGGTGCTGGACCATTAACTATAAAAGACCACCATATATTTTTTTCCAAAAAACTACGCCGTATAGCCCCCTTTAGAGCAGCCGCACTGCAATGCCAATGTTATTCATCGCCAGCGGAAAAACACGAAGCCCTTTTTAAGCAGATCACGACCTCTCGATTCTGCTTCCCGCTCGTCAGCCCAAGTCCCACTGCTGAAACCTCCACCAAACAAATATATTTTATTATATAGTGTTCATTTATTTTCTAATTTAAAGAGACACTGACCGAGCATTTATGATCGCCGAGGGTTTTATTTGAACATAACATATAGGAGTGCAACTACCCAGAATATAATTTGCGGCTCGAAAGTCGTCTTCGTTCCGCCCGAAAACAGCCGGTCCAAAATTGGCCGGTTTCAGTCGCGCTCACTCTTTTCTATGGTCATGTAGCGTTCAAAAAATGTGCACCAAATATATTCAAAGTAGTGGGTAGTCTAAGGCACACATTCAATGTTAAAAATAGAAAATAACAAGAACCTAATTTTTGTGGCCTCCAAAAACTGCAAACATGTCGATCGAAAAAATAAAATGTTTCGCCGATCACAGGAAGTACACATCCACGTCCGTCTCAGTATGGCAACGGACCAACGCTGTGACGAACGTGGCGCCTCTGCTTGGGAACTGCCATTCGTGGTACCGGGCAATCGATCTTTAAGGACAGGACATCGAGCGGAAGCGATTAGCGGCGAGATGTTCTGGTGGCGCCCTCCTATGGTTCCCCCTTGTGACGTCATTACCTTGCAAACAACAAGTTCGGTGGTGTTTGTAAATAGTGTGGTGGAAGCTCGAAATCATTGCGCTCTCAAAGGGACACTGCCAACACCGTCAGAACTAAAGTTCTTTCATTTCTTTTATTTCCGTCAATGATAAATCCTTTTCTGACGTCATAGTCAGCGTTCGGCCAATCGTGGAAGGCCGACCACAGCGACGCTTTCGGTCGCCCACGTCGCCAATAGAAGAATGAAACAATCGCGCGGCAAACGGAGCACGGAAATTCGTCGTCGTCGTCGTCGTCGTCTGCTTCACACAACGGAGAAGCGGAGAGAAAAAAAGAAAAAAAAAGCGCGGTCGGTTGTAGTTACGTGACTTCCGGCCAAGTGCTTCAGTGCTTGTACACCGGTTTCGGCTGTGAAGCAAAATCTTAATTGAGTAATCTGCCGACACCCTACTAAATCGTCTGTCCAAAAGAAAAAAACATTGGGGTCCTGTGGGGGGCGGGGGGGGGGGGGGGGGGGGGGGGGTAGTGTCCCATTTAGGCATCTTTGTCCCAATTTAATGGCGCTTTTTAGGTAGTAAAAAGTTTAACGTAACATAGATTACGCGCAGTGAACAGTCATTCGTAACACGCATAAACGAAACTAAAAGAAAAAATAGACCGGGCGCACCCATATTTAAAAAAAAAAAAAAAAAATTCCATTAGCCCGGGTGTGTAATTCACAACACCTTTACGACAAACACAAAATTGCAGGTGTTCTCCAGTGTTATCGTGGACACCGCTATGCCCCTGTTAGCCCACGCCGGGTGACTTAACGCCCACATCCGGTTTCTGCGCATGCGCGGAAGCCACGGTTCGCCCGAGGCGAAGCATGTGCGCATGCGCAGAGTCGACGGCAGCGCCACCCTCCAGTGGCGTGCCGTCAGAGAGTTGCTCGGCTCTGCAGCGGCGTGACGTCGGAGAGCTGTCGGTTCTGCGCATGCGCAGAGCCGACAGCACAGGAAACGCAGGGAGCGGTTTATTATGTTGTACACTTCCTGCCTCGTGATTGGTTCCATTTGGAGTTCCTTTCGGCAAAGGCTGCAATCTGATTGGTTGCGGATCAATATTGAGATGCTCGGAAATCGCCATGCCCTGCGTTTGTCGAATGCGCTTACGCGTGGCACCAACTTAAGTCATAAACTTTGATTAATTGAAATGGTC